ATGGTTTAAAAAAAAAGATTAAACCGTATTTTTTTTTACAAGAAATGTGCTTTAAATATAAAGATACAGGTAGTTTGAAAGCAAATGGACAGGTGAGTATATGTCATATAAACAGTAAACAGGGGCTTCCCTGTTGGCGCAGTGGTTGAGAGTCCACCTGCCGATGCATGGGACACGGGTTTGTGCCCCGGTCCGGGAAGGTCCCACATGCTGCGGAGCGGCTGGGCCCGTGAGCCATGGCTGCTGAGCTTGCACGTCCGGAGCCTGTGCTCCACAACGGGAGAGGCTACAACAGTGAGAGGCCCGCGTACCGCCAAACAAAACAAAACAAAAAAAACAGTAAACAGAAAACTGGGCTAAAGTTGACTTCAAGATAAACAGTATTAACAGTGAGAAATAATATTTCATGAAGAAAAGGGCCTGGGCTTCCCTGGTGGCGCAGTGGTTGAGAGTCCGCCTGCCGATGCAGGGGACACGGGTTCGTGCCCTGGTCCGGGAAGATCCCACATGCTGCGGAGCAGCTAGGCCCATGAGCCATGGCCACTGAGCCTGCGCGTCCGGAGCCTGTGCTCCGCAATGGGAGAGGCCACAACAGTGAGAGGCCCGTGTACCGCAAAAAAAAAAAAAAGAAAAGGGCCAATTCACCAGAAAGACAAAACAATTATAAATGTGTATGTACCTAATAACAGATGTTTAATATATATTAAGCAAAAACTGACAGAATTAAAGGGAGAAACAGACAATTCCATAAACATAATTGGAGATTTTCACACTCCTCTCTTAGTAATATATACAACAAGAAAAAAAAATCATTAAAGATGTACATGATCACAGTAACCATCTTGACCTAATTGACCTAATTGATATTTATAAAACTCTATACCTAACAAGTGCAAGGTGTATATTTTGTACACCAAAATAGATCATATGCCAGGCCATAAAATAAGTCTCAGTAAATTTTAAAGGACTGAAGTCACATAGAGTATGTTCTGAGTTCAGTGGAATTAAATTAGAAATCAAGAACAATAAGATATCTAGGAAATGCCCAGATATTTGGAAATTCGTTAACACACTTCTAAATAATCCACAAGTCAGAAATCACGAGGGAAATTTTAAAACATTTCAAATGAATGATAACTAAAGATGTGGAATGATATTCCAAATATACCATCAACTAAAAAGTGGATTAAAGTAGAATATATTCAGTATTGACCTATTTTTATTTTAAAAAATAAGCTGTATATGTATACAGGGAAATATGGCTACAAAGAATATCTGCTAGCAATGATACATTTTACTTTTGCAATTAAAAATATTTAAATGTTAAGTGAGTGCTGAGTACTTATTATGAGTAATTTTTGTTCCTCTTTGTTTACCTGCATTTTCCAAATGCTTAACTTTGAACATTTGTTACAACGTTCAATTTTGGTTTTGTTTCAGTGACTGTAATTTTCATTTTTAGAATTTCTGCACATTTTAGAATTTGCAAATTTATCTGTCTATTTTTCATAATCTCCTACTCTTGCTTTATGGATTTCATTCCTTCCTTTATATCTTTCAACATTTTAATTTTATTTTTTTAACTTTTTATTATAAAAAATTTCAAATATATAAAAGTTCAGAAAAATTATATAATGAATCCTCAAATATTCATTACTGCTTCAACAGTTATCAAATCCCTCCCATCAAATTATTTTGAAGAAAATACCAGTCACATCATCTCATCCATGATATTTCAGTACTTATCTATACAAAAGGAATTTTTTTTATAAATATAGCTAAAATACAATGACCACATCTGAATTTTAAAATAATAATTCCTTAATGTTAACAAATACCTTTGACAGTTTTAATCATTAGCTAACTTTAAATCAGCTAATTTGTTCTTGGGTGTGAATTTCCCATATTTGTTGGGTCTATGAATTGTTTCTCTTTTAGTACTGTATTTGCTCATGTGTTTATAATTTTTTTCCTGTGAAATCATCTTCAAAGGGAATTTCTGGGAGAGTCCTGGCAGACCATGGATAATGAAGGCTTCCATATGGGTGGTTAATAAAATACATACAGCCTCCTTACCTGAATCTAAACTGTTATAAACACTGAATAGCAAGAGCCTACAACCCATTATTTTAAATGGAAGAAATAATAATGTATTCCTAGCCCATATTTTAAAACTCAATCAATTTCCCCAAATATTACTAAATACTTGTAAAACCTATGTAACAATCAACCAAGAACTTCTGCATAATGGGAAGTGTGTAAACACTAATCATCTATTTATTTAACTCTCAATGAATGCCCAATAATTGTGCTTGTGTGCAGTTCAAAATAATAACATATCTTACTGGATATGAATTGCATTTCTCTTCTATACTGCAAAAAACACTCAGTATAATGTAAATAGAACTTCTGCTTCCAACCATGAAGGAACAGTAGGGTCTAGAATTACCCTCCTACTGTAGACAAACAGAAAACTGGACAAAATATATAAAACTGTTTTTGGATATTGGACAACAGGTAATGTAGGATTATGATCCCTGAGAGAAAGGAAACAAATAAGGTAAGCCCTACCATTGTGTTGACTCCAGGAGCTCAGTGTTGTTGGAGGCAATTTTCAGACAACAGTGCAGGGAGGGGGACCCAGACATAGCCCAAAGATCACTCTAAGTTGAGGAAACAGAGATGGAAGTTCAGGGAGGTCAGGGTGGTAGAATTTGCAAAGCAGAGCACCAAAGAGGAATGAGCTACCTCTCAAAAACTTTCTAGCAACCTGTACAGAGGGTCCATTGAGCCTCTGGCTGAATACCAATTTGCACACACACATAGGGTGAAACTCCACAAGACCAAACAAAGAACAAATTATAAGGAAAGAGCAATTATTGGAAACTATGAGTTTTTTAAAAATCCATAAAGCTAACACAGGGCTGGGAATCTTTTGAGTTCCCACTAGCTGGAGTAAGAAGATCTCATTTAATACATAAGGCATTCAGCAGAGATCCCAGAAGGATCACATGCCTTTAGTGGGACTAAACTAGCCCTGGTATAATAGCTACTCTAGAGCTACCCTAGAAAAGCAAATAGGCCTAAAAGAGATGAAACTGTTCCCTAAATAATGAAATTAACTGATAAAACAAAGTCCAGCACTCATTAAAGGAATAAAACAAAATCCAGAACTCAACGATTAAAATCTGCAATGTCCATCATCTAATCAAAAATTATTAAACATACAAATAAGCAGGAAAATATGACCCAAAACCAGAAGAAAATCAAATCAACAGAAACAGACTCAGAAATTACAGAGATAATGGAGTTAGAAGACAAGGATGTTAAAACAACTATTATAAAACAGCTGTCTGCTAAATATGCTCAAGGATTTAAAGAAAAACATGAAGGTAATGAATAGAGAAATGAGAGATATACAAAAAGAACCAACTAGAACATGTAGAGATGAAAAATATAATAACTGAAATGAAAATATTACTGAGATTAACAGCATATTAGATAATGCAGAAGAAAAGATCAATGAACTTGAGGACGTAATAATAGAAACTATCCATAATAAATGTAGAAACTACATCCTTTTATCTGAATATCCATGTTTTTAATGGCAGTTACATGAAGTTTCATTATAGCAGATTTCTCATCTGGATGGGAAATTTGAGTAAAATCTGAATATTTGTCATATATTCATAGAGACACAGGTATGCTGGAATTCTGCATACCTGTGGTTCGCAGGTTCCAAACCACTTTGTTTCTCAACACAGCACAGGTAGCCTTAGCTGAGTCTACAAAATACATGTAGCTCAGAGTTCAGTCACTCACAAGAGAATGTACTGACCCAGAGCCTGGGACAGCAGACAGCTCAATTCCAGGCTGGGACTCTGGGCATGGAGCAGAGTACTAATCTTAGTAACTAGTCCAGTTCCTTCTCCCCAAATAGGTCTTTCAGCTAGGCACCTACATTCTCATGGATGTTAAAACTAGCCTCTAAGGATGATATGTGGTCCACAATCTCCCCTTTGACACAGAGAGAAGGAGGACTGTATGGAGAAGAGACACCTCAAATCTTGCTGACACTATGGGTTCTCTCTTCATTTTTGGTACCTAGTGATTTCCTCTTCTTGTGTTTAAACCTATTTATATATGTCCTTAATGTTTAAATATGTTATTCAACATTTTTAGAGTTTAAGAGTGGAAAGGGAGAATTCTTATATCTGCTCAGTTTGTCTCTTGACAAGTTATAGATATAACTTTTGAAATTAGAAAATAACTAATAAGGGTACTATCAAAAGATAAATGAAAGAAGCAGCAGCAATAGTCAAAGAAAACCATCTCCATGTTCCAATGAACTCTGAGAAGAAAAGTAATCTGAATTTGGCTTTAAGAATATTACTAAGAACTGAAAAAAGGGTTTGAGGATTGCAAATCTGAACTTGTCTTTCAGAAAGAATTATTACCATCTCACAATTATATAGCACTTCACTCATCTCAAAAAACAGCTTACAGGGGCTTCCCTGGTGGCGCAGTGGTTGAGAGTCCACCTGCCAATGCAGGGGACACGGGTTCATGCCCTGGTCTGGGAAGATCCCACATGCCGTGGAGCAGCTAGGCCTGTGAGCCATGGCCGCTGAGCCTGTGCGTCCGGAGCCTGTGCTCCACAATGGGAGAGGCCACAACAGTGAGAGGCCCACATACCGCAAAAAAAACCCCAAGAAAACAGCTTACAGTATCACAATGTTTTCAGTTTTTTTTTCTTTTTTTTTTCCCTTTGGCTGTGCCGCACGGCCTGTGGGATCCTAGTTCGCCGACCAAGAATCGAACCCGTGCCCCCTGCAGTGGAAGCACGGAGTCCCAACCACTGGACCACCAGGGAATTCCCTGTTTTCAGTTTTCATAAAACTATATCTTACTTAGAATAATTTTTCAAAAAACAGACTTTATTATACCCAAATTATATTTACACGAAATACCATTTTCATTCTAATATTATTTAAAATTACCTTTATGTTTATTCAGAAGCTTGTAGCCCTCACAGTATCTGCCTGGAGAAGTCATCATCTTGGCTGTGTCAAGATAAGAGTATGTTGCAGCAAAATCAAACTCCTTTTTACCATCCCACCAACCTTTCTGCTTAGCATAGCTTCTCATGTCTGGGTGTTCCCGATCAATCTTGGTTGTTACAGAAAGCTGATTAGAAATATTACGAACTCCCTCTATTTTCAAAGAAGAGAGGAAGGGAGAAGAAAAGTCATATTTAATGTAATATATCTATCTCTGTACATTATGATCCTTAATCATTATTTCAATGTAAATATAGGCTTCTAAATGTTGTACCATGTGCATCTATTTATTACATACTCAAATAAATAAATTACTTTTTAAAATTAAACTTTTTATTTTGAGGTAATTATGGATTCACATGCAGTTGTAAGAATTAAAGAGAGAGCTATGCACCTTTACACTGTCTCCCCAAATGGTAACATCTTGCATAATATCACAACCAAAATACTGGTATTTATACTGTCAAGGTACAGAATATCACAAGGATCACTCGTGTTGCCCTTTTATAGCCACACCCACTTATCTCCCACGCCCACCCCTTCATTAACCCCAGGCAACCATCTGTTATCCATTTCTATAACTGTCATTTCAAGAAAATCATATAAATGGAATCATACAATATACAATCTTTAGGCTTTTTTTACTCAGTTTAATTCCCTAAAGATTATTCCAGGTTATTGTATGTATCAACAATTCATTCCTTTTTATTGCTGACTAGTATTCCATGTTATAGACATTCTATGGTTTGTTTAAACATTCACAAGTTAAAGGACAGCTAGCTTGTTTCCAGTTTTTGGTATCATGGGAAAAGCCGCTCTAAAAATTCATGTACAGGTTTTTGTGTGCATTTAAGTTTTATTTCTCTGGGATAAATGCATAAGATTGCAATTGCTACACTGTATAATAGTTGCATATTAAGGTTTTTTTAACTGCCAAACTGTTTTCCAGAGTGACTGTACATTCTTATTAGCAATGTACCATCCTACAGATTCTCAATAGCATTTGGGAGTGTCATTTAAAAATTTTTAGCCATTCTGATAGAGGTAGAGTTGTATCTCATTGTGGTTTTAGTTTGCATTTCCCTAATGGCTAATGACGGTAAACATCATTTCATGTGCTTTTGTGACATCTGTATATCCTTTTAGGGGAAATGTCTCTTCGTGTCATTTGTCTTTTTACTGTTGAGTTTTGACAGTTCTTTATATATTCTAGATATTAGTCTTTTATATGAATTACTGTTTAAAAAATAGTCATAAGTAAGTTTAGAACAGAAATATAAGGCTTCTAAAAATATCATGGCACTAAGTTATAACAAAATTTTCAACTAAAATACAAAACAGAAGAAACAATAAAAGTCTGTTCTAAACAGATCAGAATAAGTGAAATAGATCATGATAAATGAAAATTAATAACATTTTAAAACAGATTTAGAATGATAGTCTGCCAAGTAGAAATCAATTTAATAACTCTAATGAAATCATACTTGGGATATTCTCACTACAAAAATAGACTTAAGTCATGATAGAATCAAAGAGAAGAGGAATTTTCCATGAGTAGATAATTCCCTATAGTTAAACTACTTAGTTCTTGGGCTAATTTAGTAATAGGAAGAGAAACAAGTTGGCAAAGTTAATCTACAATTGGATAATCAGACTCAGTGAAGGTGTTTGTTTTGGATGGCTCGGTGGGGCTATCTTTTTCAACAGAATTTGTTTTTCTCTTGGATGTAGCACACTTGACAAAATAAAAAGTAATTAATGGTATAATCAGGCCAATTATCACAATAATAAAAAGAGTCTAAATTCAGTTTTGTGTATTAATAAACATACATGCAAAATATAAAATAAAATGTCCATCAAAACAACTGTCAATGACCTGTTTTGAAAAATAACATCCAAATCCTCCAAAGCTCAAGGCTACCTTCATGAAGACTTCCCAAACTTCTCCAGCTCACGATGACTTTTCCTTTCTCTAAATGTTCATAGCATATATGTGTGTGTGTCATTCACCTGCCATTTAATATTTTCACATGTGTATCTTATCCCCCCTGTAAAACTATGAGATGCAGGAGGTAATTACACAAGAAGTACATGATCATGCTTAAGCACAAGGTTGTACTCTAGTGAAAGAATACTGAACTGAGAGTCAGAATAGAAAGATTTAAATTCTAAGTCTCTCATTCACTGCCTTGAGTAAATCACTTCATATCTCTGGATCTCCTCACTTGAAAAATGAGAGGAATATATGGTTACAAAGAAATCAAGGGAAAAAAAAGCAAAGCATTCTAAAACAATCAACTGTGTTATTTACTCAATGACATCAAATTTTTATACTTTACTATTGTATCAATATATTCTTTCTAACGACTAAACCCAGTCACCAATCCCCAATAACACTACCCTGTCCTCACCTCCATATCCACACATGATAAAATTTTGGAGTTCAGCCCAAAGTTAAAACAGGAAAAAATGGTAAAGAAATGGTTTCACTTCATAAAAAAGTGAAAAAGGGGAGGGGTTTAAAAAAAGTGAAAAAGTACGATAAAACAGCCAAGAGCTACTGCACAGAAAATGTATACAGGTTATATGAAATTAATATCATATATATTAAAAAGAGATAACACCACCTTTTCCTCTTTTTCAAGAAAGCCCTTTATAGTGCTCTTTCAATGTATGTTCTTTCAAATTTTTTCATTTCCCCTTCAGTTTTCGCCTTCATTGCACTGGACTATAAATCTTGAAAAACAATTAAATGCAACTAAGAGGTTTTTTATTAATTGTAAAACAAATTAAATCATGAAAAGTTGTCCATACCTTGTACTTTTTCTGCTGCCCAGTACTTCCCTGCAGTCTCCAGAACCCAGGCTTCATTCCTATCAGCTATCAGGAAACTGTTGTGATAGCTAAATACCATCTTGCCCTCTGAACAATTTCCACCCTGGCCATATTTTTCTAATAAATCAACAATGACATTGAGGGCTTTTTCAGCTGTATCAGCTCTTTCAAGACCAAGTCTAAAATAAAAATATTAAAGTTCTCAGATTAAAATAAATTTCTATTACGTTTCTTAAATAATTTCATGCACATGAGATTTTGTGTTTATATTCCAAGTAAAAATCCTTTCAAGTTAACAGATACACTGAAATCCAACTTCTAAACTATTCCTTGTGAAGTAGTGAAGTCAGTTTGGAATCATGAAAACAAAGAGTTGGAGTCAAAAAGATCATCGTTCAAATTCCAACTTGGTAGTTTAATGGCAAATCACTTTATCTCTGAACCTTAGGTATCTCATCTGTAAAATTAGGATAATAATAATACCCCACAAGGTCACTGTGAGAATTAGTTACAGTCTGATAAAGTAAGTTAGGTACTTCCAATGAATCATAATTTTCAACTCCTTCCCTTCTCCTAATTAATGATATTTGAGAGTCTTGAAATTGAATGCCTGTATTCTGAAGCATTTTTAACACAAACTAAAATATCAAAGTCCAAAAAATGAAAAAAAAGGGAAGATAAAAACATGTTAAGAGTTAACAACAAATTTTAAATTTAGACAAGTTCTACAGTGCAAAAATATAACAAAAAAATAACCTGACAAGGTCCATGCCCAGTAGTGCCTCTTCATCACAAACTTCTTCTCTTCCCCATACAGCTTCATTCCCAATGCAAACTCCATGCTCATTGGCTCCCATTTCTGCCCCCCATAACCAAGCTGGGCGACTAAGGACAATAGCATATGTTTCAGGAACTTGATCAATTTCTATGTAAGTACACTGTAGAGAAAGTCATAACAATAACAATAAAACCAAAAAAGAAAAGTTATCGAAGTCTAGAATCTTAAAATCCATCAGAAGACATGACGATTATGAAAGAGATAACTAAATTGAAAATTTCAATAATAGAGGCATTACACTTAAAACATTGTCCCTAGAGCATTTATTCATTCAGATATTTGCTAAGCATCTCCTACGATAAAACATTGCTAAGAGATATATTGGTTTCAAAGATGAATCAGATGCAGATCTTGCTGTCAAGAAACTAAGACTTCTACATTATTACCTAAGATACAATGAAATATAAAGTATAAAGACTATGAAGAAAAGTGAAGATGGGGTGCTAATGGAAGCTCAGGAAGGGGATAGTTTCTAGTTGTGGAATCTTGAAACATTTTGTAGAGAAAGACGTATCTGAGTTGAAGTGTAAGGAAACAGATCTCAAACTCAATGTCCAGTGTTTCTTGATTGGTGATGTAAGTTCCATATGGTAGCCCTTAAATATATAGATGCCCATGTCACATGTGGGAATCACCAAGTATATCCACAGCAGTGAAAAGAATGAGAACCACTGGCTTAGAGGATAGGTGAGGCTTAAATATGAAGAGATAAAATACAAACGGATCCAAGGGACTTTCCTGGTGGCGCAGTGTATAAGACTCCATGCTCCCAGTGCAGGGGGCCTGGGTTTGATCCCTGGTCAGGGAACTAGATCCCACATGCATGCCGCAACTAAGAGTTCACACGCCACAACTAAGGCGCCCATGTGCCTCAACTGAGGAGCTGATGAGCTGCAACTAAGGAGCCTGCCTACCGCAACTAAGACCTGGTGCAACCAAATAAATAAAAAATAATAAAAAAAAGAAATGGACCCAAGATGAATAAATAATCTCAGCAAAAGAAAAAAATTGGCCTAGTAAAGTCAGCCCTCCACACACACAGGTTCCACGTCCACAGATTCAACCAAACACAGATTGAAACTATTCAGGAAAAGAAAAAACATTCCAGAAAGTTCCAAAAAGCAAAACTTGAATTTGACATTTGCTGGCAACTATTTAGACAGCATTTACATTGTATTTACAACTATTTACATACCATTCACATTGTACTATAAATAATCTAGAGATAATTTAAAGTTTATGGGAGGATGTGCATAGGTTATATGCATTTATATGCTATTTTATATAAGTGACTTAAGCATCAAAGGATTTTGATATCCTAGGGGCTCCTGGAACCAATCCCCCACGGATGTGGAGAAACAACTGTACACATAAAATGTCTAATATTTAATATATTTTGGTATTAGAATATCAATAAAACGGAATCTAAAAAATATATAACAGGAATAAAAGCATAGTATGAAATTTTTACTTTAAGTTCCATGCTAAATGGATTTTTTAAATAAAAAATTTAAAGGGTCCTTAATTGACCTGTATACTATCAAGTGACTGCATAAAGTGTATAGTGTTGATAGTGTTACCACTGGATCCAAAAACCTTTTTTGATGATAAAACTGTTACTTCCAGAGTCTGGAATGATTTTTCCTATTCTACACCAATCAGAATCCTTTTTGCCCATCAAACTCCAGCTGAAACCCCAACTCCTGGTGAAGCCCTCCTTAATTCCTAGTCTGAATTACTTGCTTCTCCACTGATGTCACAACTTGCTGCCCTTACTTAAATTTAGCATTTAAACCATCCTTTTTTACAATGCGGTTAGTTACATACACATCCTATTCCTCTACTAGACTCTAAGCTCCTGGAAGACAGAACTAGTCTTGACAGCAGGCTTTGCCCTATTCGACATGCTTGCATATGGTAAGCATTCAAATATCTGATCAAAGAATTAACAATTCTTATTATTGTTCTTTCAGCTTCCTCCAAATCATTGACATTAAAGACCAGAAGTCTAGTTCTGATTCAAATTATTTTTCAAATTTAAATTTTTAACTTCTATAGCCTCTGCCAAATGGCTAATGATTTTTAAAAACCTGTTTATGACATTTTTAAAGAAAAATATCGCTAACAAAACATGCATTTCACCTACCTTAAGATGTTCCTTCAGATTGTCATGAACTGCAGCAGGAAAATAAACTACCTCCTGTACTTCATCACAGGGTCTATCTGAATTTTTTCCAAAAATAATCCTGTTATTAACTGTTGCTGGAGGTAGTGCCACAAAAGTGTCACAGGAACAAGGTTCCATTTTTTTTAAACTAAAAATCATATGGAAGATTCAAAATAAAAAGAGAAAAGCATTTTTAGTATATACAAAACAAAGAGTTTTACTTGATGACCAGGGGATATTACTGCCATATCTAACATAGGATATTCATTAAAGTTTCAAATTTCGTATCAGTTAGAAAATGACTTGGGAATGAATCTAGTACTACAAGATTTAGTAAGAAAATAGGAATGACAAGTACCTTCTTCTAGTCTATAGGTCAAATTACTCTCTAAGCTCTTTCTCTCCTGAAGTCTTCCTTGAATCTCCTTTCACTATTTCCATATTTGGGAACACCTGTACCTAGCTCTACTGTTATAAAGACTATATTTGTGTATATATGTCTTCTTAGTGGACAGTGAGATCCTTGAGAGCTGAGAGTCTGTCTTATTAATCTTTGTATTCTCATCACTGGCACTTATGGAAAAGTCACAGTATTATATACCCAGTGTTTCCTCAAAGATGGGAAGACGGGGTCTCTTTTGAACTGGTTACAATACTAATAAGACTGAAATTTTGAAACAGACTCACTGAATCAGACAAATACAAAAACATGTCAATAAAATTCCAAATTGTTGTTATTTCCAGGAAGACGTTCACATTCAACTTGTGAATCCTGATTGTATAATTTAATATCAAGATCATGTCTTCATTTGTAATTTGGAAAATCTTAAATCCTCAATTTAGTCGAATTTGTTTGCTTCCAGAATGGCACATTGTTTTAGAGTTTCAGATTTAAATGTAATAAATGATTCATTCAAAAGAAAACAAAATGACTCAAGTAAGAAAGAAACAACTTCAGCCTGAAACACCTAAGGGTTTTTCTATTTTCTTCAATGATGGAAACAGAGCGGTCACCATTGCTTCTGTTCTTTTCCGTGGGAATTTCAACCTTTATATCCTAGATCGCCTTCTATTTGTGTTCCAAAACTAATTCCACCACTACCTAACTTTGGCAGGCTATTTAATCTCTAAGTCTCCTGCCTCATCGGTAAATATCTTGGGGGCTGTTAGGAGAATTTAATAAGACTGTGTAAAGCGTTTTTCAGTTCTTAGAACATATCACTTAAAGCTGTTATTATTATTCATCAGAAGAGTCAATTTCTTACAAAAGGCTTATTCTTGACATCACGCACACCCCCTCCCGCGAGAGGATTTGGTTGGTGGATCCCCTACAGCCACGTCCACTCAAAACCGTGAAGCTTCAAGAGCCATCAAGCTTCACTAGGTGATCTAAGCTAACTGCGGTAATAAGGAAAGCTAAGGAAACATGCCACCTAGTTAGTAAGACACCTAGCCCATTTAGGAGGGGAAGCCTTGAGAGCCTTTACTAACTCCTAAAATGTATTCGTCATTTAACAAATGTTCATAAATATCTTTCTGCACCAGGCACCGTACTGGTAACAAAATAGAGTCCTCGCTCCTTTGGAGTTGACATTCTACTTTATATGCTTTAGTTCACCAAGCGATTTCAGAAACATCACATCGTTTGATCCTCACAAACGTGCTACAGTTAGGGCAAGAATTACTACTTTAGTAACACAGGTGGAAAAAGTTGGTTTAGAAAAGTTTATGCAACTCGAAATGGAGTTCACAGAGTAAAGGGCTCGGACTTCAAGCACCTCCTTGCAGAAAAGCCGCCACCCAGCCCGCACTCCTCACCCAAACTGGCTGCACCCAAACTGCAGGCTGCGCCGCGGCCCGGACCCCTCCCAGGAGCCCCTCCCTGCAGCACCCCCCCAGGAGCCCCTCCCTGCAGCCCCCCCCAGGAGCCCCTCCCAGCAGCCCCTCCCAGGAGCCCCTCGGCGCCGCCGCGCCGCAGTTCCCGACTTCCCGCTTCCAACAACTACTATGCTCGCCCCACCCCCGTGCACGCCCCTCACCTGGCCTCCGAGGGGCCCAAAGTGAAAGGAGGAAGGGGCGAAGAGGGAGCACCACAGGCGCTAATTGCCGGAAGCTGTCCCTTTTGACCCCGGAAGTTCCCTCTGCCACGGGAGGCGCAGTTCCGGTTAGGAAGCAGAGTTTGTTTACGCTGCTCTCAGATCTAGCGGCTCTCTACCCCAGCTCAGGCTCCAAAATGGGAAAATCCTTCGCCAATTTCATGTGCAAGAAGGACTTTCATCCTGCCTCCAAATCCAACATCAAGAAAGTGAGTACGGGGAGCAGGCCCTTGGCGCCTGTGTTCCCAGGGGTTCCTGGAGGTGAGAGTGGTGGAGTCTCTGGGATCCCTGGGACAGTCGCCTCTTCTCCATGCCTAAAGCCCTGGCGTTCTCGTCCCTTCTCCGCTGGCCCTCGTTTATTCTGTTGTACATCAGCCAGGAGACGGGCGGCTCTGTGTACTCTTTCGGTTTTGTCAGCTAGAATGTAAATCTTTAAGATATGAAGACCGATAACCGGCTTCCTCATAACTTCCCGCAGCAGATTCTGATGTTGACTTTTCGAATCCCAGAGATCGCGGCTTCTGAGCTTTGCTGTCCTGTACAAAGAAGACTCCCTGTCTATTTAAGATAGATCTTAAAAGGGAAATAAAGCCACACCTTGCTTACTCTTTTTATCCCACTTGATCATGTCTGGTGACCTCATTGAACTTTGGCTTTTTAAATAACCACTTACAGGTCTACTATGTCCAGTACAGAAAAACTGAGTTGAGTATTATAGTAGTGGAAAGCAGAATGGTGAGGTAGGAGGAGTATGAGCATTGAAACCAGACCTAGATTCTGTTTTTCCAGCACAGTCACTTTTAGCCCTGAGACCTTACACAAAATATTTAATGTCCCTGATCCTCAGTGTCCTAATCTATAAGTTAAGAATGATTATTATCAGTTGCCTTGACTTGTGAAAATTGTTATGAGGACTAAATAAGATGGTGTAGATAAAGACTTTGAAATAAGTACCACCACCTAGCACTCTGCCCAACACATAGAGTGAGTGCTCAATAAAATATTAATTGCCCCTACACACACCCTTATCCTTAGCCTGCTCCTAAAATACAGGTGGTAACAAGAGTCATCCGTGGCCCATGTCTTGCTTACTCTGTATGCTTTCCCAAACAATCACAGCCAATTTTATAGTTTTAACCACCCCTTATTTACTCCTGACTTTCAAATCTACAGTGCGAGATCTTTCCCCTTAGCTGGAGGCACCTGAAGACAGCTATATACTAGACAGTTTCATCTTGATATCCTACAGGCATCTCAGACTCAGCATACTTGAAATGGAACTTACCTTTTATCCTAAATCTGCTCTTCTTTTTATACTTCCTGTTCTCATATCAGTAGGAAATACAGGTAGTAACACAACCCTTCATCCAGTCACCCAGGCCAGAGACTCAGGATTCGTCCTTTCCCATCACTCCTTTATCTTGTCAGCTAATAAATTCTGTTGGTCTTACCTCTCAGATATCTGTTGAATCCATCTCTCCTCCTTGTCACTACTGCCTGTATCTCAGCTTAGACCCTCATCATCTTTCACCTAGACAATTATATTTCCTAACTGGTTTTTCTGCTGCCAGTCTTGACCCCTCTCAAATCCATTCTCTACCCATCTAGCCATCAGAATAATAATTTTTTTATTTAGCAGTTTTATTGAGGTATAATTCACATACCATACAATCACCCATTTAAAGTGTACAATTCAGTAGTTTTTAGTATATTTATGAATTTTATCATCACCACAAAAGTTCTAAAAGATTTTCATCACGCCCCCCAAACCCATATCTATTAACAGTCACTCCCCATTTGTCCTTAATCCTTCCCCCTCCCCAGCCCTAGTCAACCACTAATCTGCTTTTTGTTTCTGTGGATTTGTCTATTCTCGACATTTCACATAAATGGAATCATGCAATATGTTATTTTTTTGTGACTGCCTTCTTTCACTTAGCATAATGTTTCAGAGTTCATGTTGTAGAATGTATCAGTATTACATTCCTTTTTATTGCTGAATAATTCCATTATATGGATATAGCACATTTTATTTATCTATCATTTGATGAATATTTGGGTGTTTCCATAGAGTAGTCATTTTAGAGCACAACTCTGATTTCTTCTAGCTCCTTATTAAAATACTACAGGATTAAGTCCAGGTAACCAGGCTCCAGTTTATTTTTCCTTCTTCATGCCTTACTGCTATTCTCCCACCATAGATTTTATACTCTGGTAAAATCAAGCTACTTAATTCCTGTTTTACACTTCTGGATCTTTGTCTGAGTTGTTCCCTCTGCTGGTAATATCTTACCCTGTTTTTCCCTTGGCAAAATTTTGATCCGCTTCAAAATCCTGTTTAACATGTATGAAGCTACTTGTGTAACAGGGTTACTTATTGCAGCTGAGTTTGTAATAGTAAAAGATTGGAAATTTCTTAATGCCCATCAGTACAGCAGGAGATTGGTTAAATGAATGGTGGTGCAGCCCCACAAAAGAATGATATTCTTCAGCACCCCATCTCCCAGAAAACAAGAAAGCATTTTGTTTACTGATCTGGGAATGATCTTCATGGTATAGAATTTTATTTTATACATATTCTCTGTGTACAGCATATTGTATATATATGCTGTATATGTTACCATTTATGAAAAGAGTGACCAAAAAATGCATGTGTGTATATTATATTATGTATATTATGTGTATGTCCATGTGAACATCTTTGGAAGGATATACAAAACAGGAATAATATTGGCTACCTGTGAATATAGTTACTTCATTTAAAAAATAAAGAACTTCTAAAAACCAAAACTTGGCTATAAAGCATTCCATTATACCAGCCTTCTTCCTTGCCCCCTAGAACACTGTCTTGTTCTATTTCTTCATGTTGAACATACTCTGTTCCAAATATCAATTTTTATTGTTACTATTTTTTTCCCAGCTGAGGATTTATTGGCGTAAATGCAACCATATAAAAACATAAGTTATGAAAAACACAGTCACCATATGCCCCCCTCCCCCACCCTCAGCCCAGGCCCAAGTATTGTTACTGTTTATTTACACAATTCCTGTCTTTTTTATTATGAAATATCTTAAACATACGGAAAAGTTAGTATGATTTTCTATTAGCAGATTCTGAGTATTTTGTAGGCAAGAATATGTTTTACTACTTTTTATTCTGGTTCATCATAAATATTCATGTATTTAAGCTCTTGAGCAATTGAGACTAGTAAAATAACTTTGTAAAATCTAAAGCTTTAAATAAATGGTAGTTATTGTTAGAATATGTTAATCATTAGAATGTTATTATTAATATATTATTTGACCAGGCAATGACACCTTGCATTTTTCTATTGCAACTGTTTGCATTTTGAGCTACAGTGAAAATTCCAAACATGTGCCTTTTATTGCCCATCCCAAGTGTAGACTTTTCTTCTACTATAACATTACATTGGTAATGTTATGTTGGTTATGGCATGTATATTATGTTATGAAGGCAGTGGAAGAAACTTTCAGAAACTTATACCAAAAGAAATTTCTGGTATATCTGTCCCTGAAGGGTTCTCTTTTCATTTCTATTTTTGCTTTTATCTCCATATTAATCTCAGATTGTGGTGCCCATAGAAGCTTCCTATCTGAGCACTATTAAATACTGATAACTACTGTTTTGCATCTAAAATTGAATAATGGCAGTCTTGTTCCCCGTCCTTCTCCCCAAACTTATCTGCCCCCACCTACATTTAATAATTATAATTTTATCAGTGTAAATATTTTTCCTTGAATTTACCTTCTAAAACTTAGCTTGTTGGGAGAGAAAGTTTTGCCTTGCTGTTTATGTTGAATGGTTATCAAACATTTTGTCCTTTACTTTATAGGAGGTGGGAAGTCACTGATACCTTTTAAACCTGGAAGTAACATGATTAAATATCCTGCATAAGTTGTGTGGGCTTTTTACCGTCACCACTTCTACGATTCTGAGAATTTCACACAGGGACGCATTCAGCCTGTGGTGGTGGTGCCCTTGAGCAACTGCAGGACGTCAGATGCATCTCTTTGATTCCTCTCTTGTCTCTTCCCTTTTTTCTACAACTACCTTTCATCTCCTTTCCTTTTTTTCTCCTATTTGTCTTCCATTTCTCCTCTCTTGGGGTGTCAGTGACACCCACTGGCATCCATGGGCACCATTTAACCTTACTGGTTGTGCCCTGTATGTTTTTTGGACTAGACATATTCCATGTAGAGAGATGGTTGTTCTCATCTCTGAAACAACAACAGAGGGATTGAATGCAAGAAGCAGTTGTACCCCAAGTGCTCAGCGTGGTTATCAAGTTTGACATTTTTGCCTGAAAGTTTAGCTGTTTTGAATGATTATATTTAAGGACTTATATAAAAGCACAAATCAGATTTTCAACTGTTGTTTTGTGATAATGACATTATGACCAAATTAGATGATGTTGTAAACTATATACAATAGCATTTTATATTTTATTATAAAAGAGAGCAAACTTCCTACTTAAGTTTTGTACTTTACTAATTTAGGTATGGATGGCAGAACAGAAAATATCATATGATAAGAAGAAACAAGAAGAATTAATGCAACAATATCTTAAAGAACAAGAATCATATGATAATAGGTAAGAAATTCCACTATGCTGGTGTTTTTAGAATAGTCAGTTGCATGAGAATATCCTTTACTGAATCATATATTAAATGAGCTTTATTGAACTGAATGCCCCAATGATAGGATTGTATTCCCTGTGAACTGTCTTTACTCTTATATTGATAGATGGGCACTTTTTCCAACCTTACCCATAATTCACATAAAATACTGATTGATGTGACTCCACATACAGTTTATAGAGAAGTCCCAACTTATACAAAACTTAGAAGAAAAATAAATGTCTATACTTGAACTACTGAGGCCTCTTACAAAGATATTTCTTCAACATACACTGAAATGAAAAGGTGCACAGGACAGTTTCAAGAAGTAAATTGAAGTGTCTCTATTTGACCTGCATGTCATTGTTCTGTTAATGGCAGGATCAGA